GGGCGGGCGGCGGCCCAAGAGGCTTCTCCCTAACGGCCGCGCCTTCGGCCAGTCCGTCTGCCCACGTCTGCTGTGCTCTGGACGCTGTTCTGGGGACTGGGGTGCGCCCTGTGGAGCCGGGGGCCCGGGGGTGCGCCCTTGGAGCAGCGAGTGGCGCCTGGAGACTTCCACTAGGAGGCGCCGAGCCCCAGGGCAGGGGGTGTGGAGGCACCAGGACGGGCTCGGGGCGCTGCTTGGCTGCACAGCGTTCAGTGCTCAGGCGAAGGAAACACGGAGGACCCAAAGCGCGGGCTGCAGGGGTTTCCATTTTAAACGGGGCAGACCCCCCGCCCCCCAAAAAAAAGCTGTTGAGAAAGTGACACTTACATAGAAATCTGAAAGAAGTAAGAGGTGATCTGGGAAGATATTTGGGGGATAAGCAGCCTGGTCTGAGTGCACAGCCCGTGCAAAGGCCCTGGGGCAGGACCGGGCCTGGCGGGTTGGAGGGGCAGCGAGGAGGCCCGTGTGGCTAGAGCAGAGCCGGGGGGTGGGGAGGGGAGGGCAGGTCGTGGGCGCACAGGGGACTTGGGCTTTCACCCGGGGGAGATGGGGGCCCGGAGGGCTGTGGACGGAGGCGGGGCCTCACTCAGGGCCACATGTGTCCTCTGGCTGCTGTGGAGGGACACCTTGTGGGATGAGCACGGAAGCAGTTAGGAGGACTGTGCTGCTGACCGTGGACAGTGGTGACCATCAGGAACCCAGTGGTTCTGTGGGCCTGGCAGTCCCCCCATACCCTCGTAGTGCAGTCCGCCCTGAATCCAAGGGTCTCACCTCCCAGGCCCATCATGTTCTGGACAGTTCTGGACAGCTTGGGCTCCCACTTGCTGTGGGGATGGGGGAAGCCAGCAACACCCTGGTCTCCCCTGTAACACTCGCTTTCGTCTCAAAGGGGGAACTGAGTCCCCCGCCACAGGAAGCGTCCTGCTCAGCATTGGCAGGTGGAATGTACGGGCCTGCCCGCTGTTGGGTGGTCCTCTCAGGGCCTGAGGAGCTGCTGCCGGGGTCGGGCTGGACCTGGGCGGCCTTCTTTCGATCCCGTCCCGTCCCCCAGCTCCCAGCAGTGCGGAAGGGGTGGCAGGAAGTGCCGTGCTGGATCTCCAGGGGGTTCGGGTAAGCCCCCACCACTCCAGCCCTTTTTCGCTGCTGCTGCAGGCAAAGAAGTCAGCTAAGAAGTTGCAGCAACAAAGCACGGAGCCCGCGAGGAGACCCAGCCAGAAGGAGAAGAGAGGGCGCCCCGAGGAGAAGCCCCGAGCCAGGTCAGCACCCACTCGGCCTCTCCTTCCACAGCTCCCCAGGGAGCCCTACCTGTGCCACGCTGGTCCCAGGCCCTCAGCCTTCTGGGGACCGTTCACCGCTCATGGGAGGGGCCTGGCTTCCAAATCCCGCTTGGGGGACAGGCCCAGCTGAAGTGTTCCCTGTTCCAGTACTGTGGGCCTCGAGTGGGTGGGGCCAGGGATGCTGCTCAGACCCCCGCAGTGCCCAGAGTGACCGTGTCCCAATGTCAGCAGGGCCAAGTGGAGGAGTTGTTCCCTAGGCCAGCAGGTCTCAGACTTTTCAAGTCCGAAGCCCACCAGTGTGGGGGGACAGCTCTTCTCCTTGCCATTTTTAAGTGCTGTCCGAGCCATCGGGTAGAACCCGCCCACCAGGAACTTGGCAGCAGACCGTCGAGTAGAGTGTGGGTCTGGGCCTGGGCCTGGGCCTGTGGTGGCAAGCACTGTCGGTGTCTCCCGGCGTCCAGTCGAGGGCATTTTAATATCACTCACCAGGTTTTACGTACTGGCCACTAATCCTCAGCCCCGTGTGAAAACAAAGGAGATTCTGAGATCTCACGTGGTTTGGTCGCCCCAGCCAGAGGAAGGGCTAACATCTGTGGTTGCCTCAGGCGCCTGCCCTAGACCAGGTCACCATGGCCCCGAACCCTCCTCCCAGCTTTTGGGGCCTCCGAAGATTTCCTTCTGCAGCCCGGGCCTTGGTAGGGAGGACGGTGGTGGCCAAGGCAGGGCAGCCTCATGGATGGGTTGGTCCAAGGTCTGAAGAGGATGATTCTTCACAGGCCCGCGAAGGTAGAGCGAACCCGGAAGCGATCAGAAGGGTTCACACCAGAAAGGAAGGTCGAGAAGAAGAAAGGTGAGGGCCCAGCTGCCCCGGTCGCCACCCAAGGTCTTGCAGCCTGAGGTCGCTGGGATCGGGTCAGGGAAGGTCGCTTCTGTCACCACTGCAGTGGTCAGGCAGGTCTTCTGGCCACAGCTGGTGTGGGGGCCTTCACCGCCCACTCAGGCCCAGGACATGCGTTTTCTCTCCTGGCCACAGAACCTTCCGTGGAGGAGAAGCTGCAGAAGCTGCACAGTGAGATCAAGTTCGCCCTGAAGGTCGATAACCCGGTGAGACCCTCCTGGGGGCCGTGGGGAGCCACTTCCCCTGAGCCGAGCAGTCCCCCCACTTCTAGAGCCTCCTTAGAAGTCTCCAGGAACCAAGGCAAATCGAGAGTCCCTCTCGGTGGGGGTGCTTGTTTCCATTATGTGTCCCACAGCTGAATGACATCCTGGGGTGCAGTGCTCGGTGTTTCCACGAGGTGGCGCTGTGGGCAGGCCCCACGTGTCCTTCTTGCCATCCCTAGGGTCCCATGTCACACAGCCCTCCCTGCAAGGAGAGCCCCTGGGTGTCCTTCCACTTGTTGGGCCTCCTAGGTGCTGTCCTTCCTCACTCTGTTCCTTGCCCCCCACCGTGCAGGACGTGAAGAGGTGTCTGAACGCACTGGAGGAGCTAGGGACCCTGCAGGTGACCTCGCATATCCTCCAGAAGAACACGGATGTGGTGGCCACGTTGAAAAAGGTGCGACGGAAGCCTGAGATGGGCGGGGCTGGGGGTCGGAGGGTCCCGGCAGGCCAAGGTCTGCTCAGGGCGTCCGGGTTCCTGGCCAGTGGGTTGGCTAGCGGGAGCTCCAGTGTCCAGGGGAGGTGCCATGGGGATGGCAGCCGGAGAGAGGGCCTCGGGCCGGGGGGCGAGGCCAGTGGCGCTTCCTGAGCCAGGGCTCTCGGTGGCCAGATCCGCCGTTACAAGGCCAACAAGGAGGTGATGGAGAAGGCCGCGGAAGTCTATACCCGGCTCAAGTCGAGGGTCCTGGGACCAAAGATTGAGGCCATCCAGAAGGCGGCCAGGACCGGGGCTGAGAAAGAGCGCACTGAGGCGGAGAAGGCCGAGGCGGCGCTGGGTGGAGAGGAGGCCCCCTCGGAGAGGGCGGAGGACGAGGCCAGTGCCGGTGAGGAGCTGGGCGCAGCGGGCCGGGCCCCTCAACCCAGATGACGGGGGTGGCGTGGCCTGTCGGTGTTCTCTGGGCAGGCCCGGCTCTGTCCCCGAGGCATCTGGGGCCTGGTGCACGCACACGCTTACGCTGCCGGTGGGCTTGGGGCACTCAGCCAGGTAGAGGAGGGGGCTGGGCGTGTGCAGGCTGGGTGTGCGTGAGCTCTCCTGGGAGGCACAGGCCTTGGGCTGCACCTGGAGGGCCACGGCTGGGCTGAGAGGAGGAAGAGGACATCTCTGGCAGAGACAGTGGCCTCTGGGAGCAGGAGGGTGTTTCTTCCTGCTGGGGTCACCTGGTCCTGATGACAGGTACTTGGTTGGAGCAGCCCCTCAGACTGGCATCAGGTTGGCTTGGCTAAAGCTTCAGCAGCCTGAGGGACAGCCTGGAGGAGGTGTCTCCCTATTTCTGTCCTAGCCTCCACCACTCATTTACTGCCCCGCCCCCCCTTCTTCAGGGGCCTGGGCTGGCTGTAGAATCACGTGCAGTCAGCCCTGGCCTGATGGAGCTGACAGCCCCCATGTGACTGGGAGGCACAGAGGTGGAGGTGACTGTGGGTGCATGGGGCCAGGGACCCTATGGAAGATTGAGGGTCCCCTGTCCCAAAGCCGGCTCGCTTTCTTGTTCATTCTCAGCGGGAAGGGTCAAGGGTCCCGGACAATAGCCCCACAGTGTCCCACACACCTTGTTCCCCGTCCCCCAGATCTCTCAGCCTCAGTGAATGGCGAGGCCACATCCCAGAAGGGCGGGAGCATGGAGGACAAGGAGCAGGAGGAAGGACAGAACTCGGAAGAGGGGCCAGTGGGAGGCTCCTCCGAAGACCTGCTGCACAACGAGTAAGTGTCAACAGGGGCCGTGGTAGTCGGGGTGACTTCTGAGAGGGTGCCCTGATATCTGACTTGCTCCCAGTCTGCTGCTCCTCCTGGGCAGGGTCCCACGGACTTTGCCTTGACGTGTTGGCCTGCCACTCCCCGGAGCAGCTGACCCCAGGGCCTCTCTTGGAGGATGCTCTAGGAACCTGAGCTGACCGGGGCCGGGCGCAGGCGGGCTCTGTCACAGGCACTCTCGAGTCTGCCACGCAGCCACGCACAGGGCGCACCCACCGTGCCGGGCATGGCGGCAGGGGCGTAGGGCGTTGGGCGTAGGGCGGACCGGATGGCCGCCCGCTCACCGCCCCATGCTGTGCTCCGCCTGCAGCGTGCGGGAGGGCCCCGACCTGGATGGGCCTGGGCAGGACCGGCAGGAGCGTGAGAGGGTGCACGTGGACTCTGAGTCCCTGGACGACGAGGACAGCTGAGCCCCGGGCAGCCCGGCGGCCAGGCCCGCGCATCACGTAGGTGCCCGTGAGCCTGCCCACTCCTTCCCGGCTGCCCAGGGAGCCAAGAACTGTGGGGGAGATGCTGTGCTCTTTATTTGTATTCGTTCCTCTGGGTTTTTTTCTTGCCTAATTTCTGTGATTTCCGACCGACACAAAATGACTATAAAGGGTTTTTTTTTAATGAAAAAAAATTACTTTTATTGGCTTGGTTTTCTGGCATTATTGGTGCAGCTAAGCTGAGACTGGGGAGAGGTCTGTCGCTGTCAAGGGCCTGTTTGGGGACAGAGGTTTGAGGCCGCGGTGTCACCACGTAGGGTGGACGTGAGCTTGGTTGTAACGTTGCCGCCGGTCCAGCAGGGCTGACAGGCAAGGAGCGGGGCAGCAGCAAGACCATCCCGCAAATAAAAAAGGAGAAATAAAACCCTCTGAACTTCACGGCTCAGGTGGAGGCTGTGGTTTGATCGTCCTGGGCTTGGCTGCCCAGGGCCCAGGCAGGGGGAGCAGAAGGGCCGGGTGGGCCGAGCCAGACGGAGTCCACCGTGTGTTCCCAGGAAGCCGCGGCCTTGCTCAGCCGCTGACTCGGCCGATCCCTGTCCCGCCCAGGCTGCAGGTGGCGCTGGGATGCCTGCTGCCAGTCCCAGCTCGGCCAGTTCCGTGCGCTCGGGCCACGGAGTGTGCTCCGGGCCACCTGTTGTCCTCGCATGTTCCAAGAGCAAAGCGCCGAGGACGGGCCTCGCCGTGTGACCTTGGCCAGGCAGCACTCCCACCACTCTGGGATTCTCGTTCCTCCCCTGGATAAGCGGCGACGTGATCCCAGCCTCAAAACTGTCATGTGGATTCAGAGCGGGGACTTGTGTGATCCCCTGCCAGGTGTCAGCACGTGGCGGTTGCTGATTGAACAGTGGCTTCTCCTATGTGTCCCCCTACCCTGGCCGAGCCCATCCATCTCAGCTGCGAGGGGGACTTCCTGAGCCCTGGCTCCCCGTCCCTGCCCACCCCTCTTTGGTTTGGCTGGACTTGAAGTGACTTCAAGTCACTGTGCTGGGTTTCTGGGAACGGCCGTGTTCTCGGTGTCACCACCTCAGATGGCGTCCCTCGATGGAGGCCGAGGGAGGAAAGGCTCAGCAGTTTCCCTAACTTGTTCCCGTGTCACACCAGGCGCCAGCACCCCCCACCCCCGCCCATGCAGAACCCCTCCCAGGCCCCCAGCAGGGACCTCTGAGGAGAGAGCCAGCCGCCTGTCTTTGAGCTTGGAGCACTGGTCATTTCTGGGAACAGGGTGCAGCCCGGGGGTATTTTGATCGCCCCGTGAGGGATGTGGCCAGTTGGGGAGCTGTCTGGGCAGGTGTGGGCTTGATGCCTGGGCCGCTGGGGGTCTGATGCACGGCTCGCAGCAGGGGGAGGGCGGTGGCAGCGAGGGAGTGTCTCTTGGGTGGGCATCCTGAATTTTCACATGGCGGGGCCAGGGCGGGGGGCTTGGACCTCTGTGTCTGGGAAGGTGGAGGCGGTCGAAACCTCCCCGGACCCTGGCTGGTCCCCAGCCTGGGGCGCACAGCCGAGACCCCAGCAATCGTCGAGTGCATCTCTCCACGCACCCCCTCGGGCCCTGCTCCCTGTGGGGGAGCCCCGTTATCCCCCCATGGCTCTGGGAGCCACAGAAGTGCCTCCCCGGGACCCTGTCAGGATGGCTTCGTCGTGGCAGGCAGGTGGGCGTGTGGAGGAGGTGGGAAGGGACTTGTTTTGTAGTCCACCCCCTCACTCCCAAACGGTGCAGTCCCCAAGGCGGGTGCTTGCAAAGCCCCGGGGGTGGGGGAGAGATGTGTGGCCACTGGCGGCTTTGTCCTCACGAAGCCCCCTTCTCTTGGCCACACCGGAGTCAACAGAGGCGGTGGGAGCCAGCCTCGGGATGGCCGTTCTGGTGCTAAGGGCTGCGGTGGATGCTTTCAGAATGAGGATGGAGCGGGAGCACCTGCTAAGCTGGCAGCCAGAAGCCCAGACTGTGGGCCAGGAATCCTCCCCAGAGATGGCGGGGCTCCTAGTGGCTGGTGCGGAGTGGAGAACCTTCTAGGCACATTTCATTTCTTTTTCCTTAAGGTGCGCTGGCTGCAGTGAAGGCTCTTTGTCAGTGATGGTCTTAGCAAGCCGGGGCGCCTAGGCCGGGCCCAGGCCCAGCCGTGCTCGGGGCAGAGAGGTGGGCGGGGTAGGCCCGGGACCGGGGAGTGGCACACTCGATGCGGAAAGTCCCTGCTGCCCCGACCAGCACCAGCCAGGCCACCCACTGGGGCCCAGAGCTTTGGGGACTTGGGGCTGGGGAGGCTCCACAGGGGACCTATAGCTGCTGCCCACTGGGGTGAAGGGCGAAGGGCCCCACCAGCCAGCTGAGCGGGGGCCTGTGCTGCACGCTCACCAGCAGCTGCTCCAGCCCCCGCCAGGCCTGGACGACGCCGGCGTGGCTCTGGGCCAGGCGTTCAGCCGGCAGCTCCGAGATGGAGCCAGCAGAGGAGACGAGGCCGTAGAGCTCGCAGAGGCTGTGCCGTGCCCACCCGACCTGCTGCTGGAGTTCGGCAGGCAGACCCTGGAGGCCGGAGGCCAGGGTGCTGTAGGCAACATGGAGCTGCTGGATGAAGCCGCGGGCCCTGGACAGTGCGCCGGCATCCGACACCTGAGCAGGAGAGAGTAGGTGAGCAGGGCCTGGGGGCTGGGAGGGGGCCACACCCCAGGAGCCTCGGCCCCCCACTCCCACCCCCGATCACACCTCCCGCTGCCCTCCTGGAGCCTACATGGCCTTTTCAGTCTGGAAAGAGCCCAGCAGAGAACTGATGACTCCGGCCGGGGCCTGCCGCACACTCCCAGGTGTGGGGCGACAGGCTAGGCGGGCGCCCACACCTGGCCCGGACCTTCTGTCTAGACCTGCCTGTGGCGAGGTAGAGAGGCCACAGCTTTAGAGCCAGCTGTGCCACGATGGGCTTGTCTTCTTTTGTAAAGAGGCCATAATCCAGATTCCCCGTGAGGCCTTCAGAGAGATCCACTCACAGTGTCACTGGGATGTGTCACGTGCAGCTCAGAGCCCTCATGGCTCATGGCTCCCCCGTGCTCTACCATGGCCTGCACGGGCTGCCCCAGCCCAGGGCGCTTCCGTGCTCATCTGCCGGCACCCCACCTCGCTCTGCGCAGCACCGGACCCCACGCCCCTGGGCTCCCCCTACCCTGTCCCCGTGGCCTTCACTGCACCCTGTCACGCCGGCCGCCTTCCCACTCCGCTCTCACAGTCCCCGTTTCTCCCCATCTCTGCCCCCCGCCTGCATGGCTCTCAGCCTCACGGTGCAGCTCGGGAGGATGCCCCCCCTCCCGGCCCAGACCTTCCTCGCACCCCGCTGTCTGTAAGTACAGCAGCCCCTCGTCACAGTCTCCCTCTCCACGGTTTCAGTTCCCGTGGCCAGTCATAGTCTGAAAATGTTACATGGAAAATTCCAGAAAAACTCATCAGCTTTAAATGGCGCACTATTCTGAATCGTGTGACGAAATCTCTCATCATCCAGCTCCGCCCCACCCTAGACGTGACTCCTCCCTTTGTCCAGTGTCCCCACGCTGTGGACGTTCCCCGCCCGTTAATCAGTTATCAGAGCAGCTATTGGGGTGTCAGAGTGCTTGTGTTGAAAGCACCCTTATTTTACCTCATGACACGTTCTAATTGGTCTGCTTTGTTATTAGTTATTGTTAATCTCGTGATGCCTCAATTATAAATTAAACTTCATCATAAGGATGTACGTATAGGAAAGTCATAGTGTGTATAGGATTCAGTACTATCTGCGGTTTTGAGCACCCACTGGGGGTCTTGGAATGCGCCCCTGTGGGTAGGGGGCCGACTGTATTTGGTCTGGTCCTCCTCACCCTCTGGGACACAAGCCCCATGGGAGCGGTCCGTGGCCATTGTCGTGGCTGCTGGGCATCGTCCGCGTGGCACCCACACGCTTGTCTCGTCCGGTCAGGACACAGCGATGGGAAAGCCGTGCAGGGGCTGAGGGAGGCGCCTGGGGAGGGGAAGACTCACCGCCCTAAAGGAGTCCTCGAGCCGGGCCAGAGCCTCCCTGGCCTGGAACTGGCCGTGCTGCAGGTGGCTCAGGGCATGCTCGAAAGCCCGCTGGCGGAAGCCGGGGGTCAGGTCGCCCAGACGCATGAAGTAGCTGCCCTGGTCGGCCGCGGGCATCCTGGGCCCAAGCTGAGCGGCTGCCAACTGAGCTGAAAGGGAAGACGCGGTCACTGAATCCGAGAGGCCCCTCAGGGCATCCAGGGCTTGGGCTGGACAGACGATGAGCCCCCACTGGAAGCTGGGGCCCAGCCCGTCCTGTTCTCACCTTGTTCGTGAAAGATCTCCCCCAGTCCCTCCAGCTCGTCCTGGGGCATCGCAGAGCCTGTGGCTCCTTCACAGCCACGTGTCGTAGCCACGCACCTTGCTTCCTCCACGCCCCGGGTGGCCTCTGGTGTGAATGACATCACAGCAGAGACGACGCCCTGGCTAGCGGCAGTGACTTCCCCAGCAAGGTCCAGGCCTGCACAGAGAGCTTCTGGGGAGCTGCAGACCCTGTAAGACAGATCTGCCTGGGAGCTGGGGACAGCTTGTTCTCTACATTTGTCGGGGGCCCTGCCATGGATGAGTCCACCACAGGTGTCCTCAATACCAAGTAACCAATTTTGGGTTGTGCCCTGGCCAGACTGCATGGACCCTGTGGCCACACCCAGCCCCGTGGACACCGCGTCTTTGGTACCAGCCAGGACGGTCTTCGAGGTGTCCATGCCGGTCTGGACGGCACCCTTGGCCACGTTCATTGCCCCGGTGAGCCCCATGTACACTGTGTCTTTGGTGCCAGTCAGGAGGGTCTTGCTGGTTTCCACTCCAGTCTGGACAGCGCCCTTGGCCACATCCATGGCCCCGGTGAGCCCCGTGGACACTGTGTCTTTGGTGCCAGTCAGGATGGTCTTTGAGGTATCCACTCCAGTCTGGACAGCGCCCTTGGCCACATTCTTGGCCCCGGTGATCCCCGTGGACACTGTGTCTTTGGTACCAGCCAAGGCAGTCTTCGAGGTGTCCACTCCAGTCTGGACTGCACCTTTGGCCATGTTCATTGCCCCGGTGAGCCCCGTGGACACTGTGTTCTTGGTGCCAGTCAGGAGGGTCTTGCTGGTGTCCACTCCCGTCTGGACGGCGCCCTTGGCCACGTTCATGGCCCCGGTGAGCCCCGTGGACACTGTGTCCTTGGTGCCAGTCAGGAGGGTCTTGCTGGTGTCCACTCCTGTCTGAACAGTATCCTTGGCCACATTCATGGCCCCAGTGAGTCCCTTGGACACCATGTCTTTAGTACCAGCCAGGATGGTCTTTGAGGTGTCCACTCCTGTCTGGACAGCACCCTTGGCCACGTTCATGGCCCCGGTGAGCCCCGTGGACACTGTGTCCTTGGTACCAGTCAGAACGGTCTTGCTGGTGTCCACTCCAGTCTGGACGGCGCCCTTGGCCATGTTCATTGCCCCGGTGAGCCCCGTGGACACTGTATCCTTGGTACCAGTCAGAACGGTCTTGCTGGTGTCCACTCCTGTCTGGACTGCACCTTTGGCCACGTTCATCGCCCCGGTGAGCCCCGTGGACACTGTGTCCTTGGTCCCAGCCAGTACGGTCTTGCTGGTGTCCGCTCCAGTCTGGACGGCGCCCTTGACCATGTTCATTGCCCCAGTGAGTCTCGTGGACACTGTGTCTTGGGTACCAGTCAGGAGGGCCTTGCTGGTGGCCACTCCAGTCTGGACGGCGCCCTTGACCATGTTCATTGCCCCAGTGAGTCTCGTGGACACTGTGTCTTGGGTACCAGTCAGGAGGGCCTTGCTGGTGGCCACTCCAGTCTGGACGGCGCCCTTGACCATGTTCATTGCCCCAGTGAGTCTCGTGGACACTGTGTCTTGGGTACCAGTCAGGAGGGCCTTGCTGGTGGCCACTCCAGTCTGGACGGCGCCCTTGACCATGTTCATTGCCCCAGTGAGTCTCGTGGACACTGTGTCTTGGGTACCAGTCAGGAGGGCCTTGCTGGTGGCCACTCCAGTCTGGACGGCGCCCTTGACCATGTTCATTGCCCCAGTGAGTCTCGTGGACACTGTGTCTTGGGTACCAGTCAGGAGGGCCTTGCTGGTGGCCACTCCAGTCTGGACGGCGCCCTTGACCATGTTCATTGCCCCAGTGAGTCTCGTGGACACTGTGTCTTGGGTACCAGTCAGGAGGGCCTTGCTGGTGGCCACTCCAGTCTGGACGGCGCCCTTGACCATGTTCATTGCCCCAGTGAGTCTCGTGGACACTGTGTCTTGGGTACCAGTCAGGAGGGCCTTGCTGGTGGCCACTCCAGTCTGGACGGCGCCCTTGACCATGTTCATTGCCCCAGTGAGTCTCGTGGACACTGTGTCTTGGGTACCAGTCAGGAGGGCCTTGCTGGTGGCCACTCCAGTCTGGACGGCGCCCTTGACCATGTTCATTGCCCCAGTGAGTCTCGTGGACACTGTGTCTTGGGTACCAGTCAGGAGGGCCTTGCTGGTGGCCACTCCAGTCTGGACGGCGCCCTTGACCATGTTCATTGCCCCAGTGAGTCTCGTGGACACTGTGTCTTGGGTACCAGTCAGGAGGGCCTTGCTGGTGGCCACTCCAGTCTGGACGGCGCCCTTGACCATGTTCATTGCCCCAGTGAGTCTCGTGGACACTGTGTCTTGGGTACCAGTCAGGAGGGCCTTGCTGGTGGCCACTCCAGTCTGGACGGCGCCCTTGACCATGTTCATTGCCCCAGTGAGTCTCGTGGACACTGTGTCTTGGGTACCAGTCAGGAGGGCCTTGCTGGTGGCCACTCCAGTCTGGACGGCGCCCTTGACCATGTTCATTGCCCCAGTGAGTCTCGTGGACACTGTGTCTTGGGTACCAGTCAGGAGGGCCTTGCTGGTGGCCACTCCAGTCTGGACGGCGCCCTTGACCATGTTCATTGCCCCAGTGAGTCTCGTGGACACTGTGTCTTGGGTACCAGTCAGGAGGGCCTTGCTGGTGGCCACTCCAGTCTGGACGGCGCCCTTGACCATGTTCATTGCCCCAGTGAGTCTCGTGGACACTGTGTCTTGGGTACCAGTCAGGAGGGCCTTGCTGGTGGCCACTCCAGTCTGGACGGCGCCCTTGACCATGTTCATTGCCCCAGTGAGTCTCGTGGACACTGTGTCTTGGGTACCAGTCAGGAGGGCCTTGCTGGTGGCCACTCCAGTCTGGACGGCGCCCTTGACCATGTTCATTGCCCCAGTGAGTCTCGTGGACACTGTGTCTTGGGTACCAGTCAGGAGGGCCTTGCTGGTGGCCACTCCAGTCTGGACGGCGCCCTTGACCATGTTCATTGCCCCAGTGAGTCTCGTGGACACTGTGTCTTGGGTACCAGTCAGGAGGGCCTTGCTGGTGGCCACTCCAGTCTGGACGGCGCCCTTGACCATGTTCATTGCCCCAGTGAGTCTCGTGGACACTGTGTCTTGGGTACCAGTCAGGAGGGCCTTGCTGGTGGCCACTCCAGTCTGGACGGCGCCCTTGACCATGTTCATTGCCCCAGTGAGTCTCGTGGACACTGTGTCTTGGGTACCAGTCAGGAGGGCCTTGCTGGTGGCCACTCCAGTCTGGACGGCGCCCTTGACCATGTTCATTGCCCCAGTGAGTCTCGTGGACACTGTGTCTTGGGTACCAGTCAGGAGGGCCTTGCTGGTGGCCACTCCAGTCTGGACGGCGCCCTTGACCATGTTCATTGCCCCAGTGAGTCTCGTGGACACTGTGTCTTGGGTACCAGTCAGGAGGGCCTTGCTGGTGGCCACTCCAGTCTGGACGGCGCCCTTGACCATGTTCATTGCCCCAGTGAGTCTCGTGGACACTGTGTCTTGGGTACCAGTCAGGAGGGCCTTGCTGGTGGCCACTCCAGTCTGGACGGCGCCCTTGACCATGTTCATTGCCCCAGTGAGTCTCGTGGACACTGTGTCTTGGGTACCAGTCAGGAGGGCCTTGCTGGTGGCCACTCCAGTCTGGACGGCGCCCTTGACCATGTTCATTGCCCCAGTGAGTCTCGTGGACACTGTGTCTTGGGTACCAGTCAGGAGGGCCTTGCTGGTGGCCACTCCAGTCTGGACGGCGCCCTTGACCATGTTCATTGCCCCAGTGAGTCTCGTGGACACTGTGTCTTGGGTACCAGTCAGGAGGGCCTTGCTGGTGGCCACTCCAGTCTGGACGGCGCCCTTGACCATGTTCATTGCCCCGGTGAGTCTCGTGGACACTGTGTCTTGGGTACCAGTCAGGAGGGCCTTGCTGGTGTCCACTCCAGTCTGGACGGCGCCCTTGGCCATGTTCATTGCCCCGGTGAGTCTCGTGGACACTGTGTCTTGGGTACCAGTCAGGAGGGCCTTGCTGGTGTCCACTCCAGTCTGGACGGCGCCCTTGACCATGTTCATTGCCCCGGTGAGTCTCGTGGACACTGTGTCTTGGGTACCAGTCAGGAGGGTCTTGCTGGTGTCCACTCCAGTCTGGACGGCGCCCTTGACCATGTTCATGGCCCCGGTGAGTCTCGTGGACACTGTGTCTTTGGTGCCAGTCAGCACAGTCTTTGTGGTGTCCACACCAGTGTGAATGGCTCCTTTTGCCACGCCCACTGCCCCTGTGACCCCGCTGGTCACAGCCTCCTTGGTGCCTGTGAGTGCAGATCGGGTCATGCCGAGGCCTCCCTGCACCGCGCCTTTAGCTGAGTCCACTACATTGGCCATCCCGGAGGAGATGGCATCTTTGGTCCTGGTCATTGTGGAGCACACCACGTCCTTTGCCCCGGAGGTCATCTGATGAGAAAGCACACACACATGGTCAAGAGCAGAGGCTGGGAGGCTTGTCACAGCCCAGACTTCAGTCAGCCTGATTCCTGACGTGCCTGGGCAGAGGGACATGCACGTGGCATCAGAGTATTGCCTTGATTCAATAGATCCCCGATTGCTAAAGTGGGTCTCTAACACTTCTGGAACCCTTGGCAAGGAGTCTTGGCCTTGGGCTCAGCAAGCCATTGTCTGTTCATTTATGGCAGAATTTGAGCCTGGTGTCCCTGCCTCAGTGGACAGACCAAATTGCTTATTGAAACGGATATATTCAACTAAGGGGAGGAAATGACTATTTAGAAAAGTAATATCTGGAAAAGTATAGGGACGAGTATTAGTTAGAGCTGTAGGAAATTGTTGATAATTTTAATCATTTTTGACCCATCCAAGGCCAATTGTCTCGAGTTCAACCAAACTGCGAGAGGGTTGTGATGCCCTCAGCGTTGCACGGCCTGGGCTCAGCCCGAGTATGCTGTTTTTAATTCAGTGGCTCCCAGCCGGGGTGATGCTGCCCCTCCGAGGACACCGGGCGACGTTGGGGGCCATCTGTGGTTGTCATGACTTGGGGGAGAGAGCACTGCTTACGTCGAGTGGGTCAGGGCTCAGGGTGCCGTGTGACACCCCGCGGTACCTAAGAGCGATCCAACCCCCATGGCCACAGTGCTGAGGTTTAGAAGCTCTGACATTTTATTCTTGCTGCCCGTCTGCTGCCCAGCACTGAATCAAGTAGGCACCTTGGGCTCCGTTCCTGCAGAGACCCAAGTTCGAATCCCAGCTCTTTCCCGCACTCACTGTGTGGCCTCTGGCAAGCCACATCCCCTCCCTGAGCCTGTTTTAAAAAATGGTTCCTAAAACAGCACCTCCTTCCAGGGTCGTCGGGAAAACTAGTCGAGGTGCCTGAAATGCTTTGCAGGTAACAGGTGCTCCGTTCACGAGTGGAGGGGAGCAGCAGAGGGGGAGCGTGTGAATGGGAAGGGGGTGGGCTTTAATTGGGGCCGGAAGGGCCTGCCCAGGGTGAGCCCAGCATGTCTTCCCCCTGAGGTGCTCAGGTCTGGCTGAGCTGAGGGCAGAGGGAAATGCAGAAACCCAGAGTGGGGGCCTGTGCTGGGCGAGGAGTCGGGGGTGGGTTCTTATCAGGGTTCTGCCACCCCGCTGTGGCCTCAGCTGCCTCGCACCAGCCCCTCTGCCTGACCCGGCCTTAGGGACAGCATAACGTGGGCGGTCCTCATTTATCCAGGACCAGGGGTGGGCGTAGCGTGGGTGTAGTTCAGCCTCTGACTGCCCATGGGTCCTGCTGTGTGACCTTTGGTCAGTGGCTCAGCCTCTCTGTTCCTCAGCTGACATGTGGGGTACTGGGTGCTGTCCGCCCCCTCCCTCCCAGAGTGGTGGGAGGGTCACAGGGCAGCACGTGTGAAGCGCGTCGCCCAGAGCCTGACGCGTGGTCAGCAAGTCGCTATTGCTCAGGTCACGCTGTGCGAAGCCTGACCGGGGGCCCGACCAGGCCGGGCAGCGGGGCGGTGCTGCGCCCATCCACAGAGGTGGAAGTGGAGGCTCGCGCAGGGCCTGCCTCCCGTCACACGGCAGGACACACGGGCATCTGCCGTGTCCCTGGGCAGGCAGGAAAACGTCCCTGGAGGGAGGCGGGGGGCATCGGACCCGGCTCTGACAACCCCTCTCACCTTGTCTGCAGGCGGCGGCAGCTTCTCCACCCCTTTGGCTGTCAGCTCCGGGTCAGTGGCCGCTGTGGGGACAGGAGCCAGTCAGGCACCCCAGGGGGGCTGAGGGGAGCGGGCTGGCATCAGCCACCCTGGTGCCTATTGTGTAATCAGCGGGCACAGCTTGAAAGGTCAGGAATGTCCCGGCTACCCTGCCAGGGACAGCAGGAGGTGATATGGGCAGCCATAGCCCTGCCACCCTCTGACCCATCTTGCTCCCTATAGCAAGGGCTCCCCGGTGTTTTTTCTCTGCCCAGGTCCTGGGCACTGGACGCCCACGTGGGGGGCCGCCCCTCCCCCCACCGCAGCTGGCAGCTGCCTGTTGGACCTGGATATGTGTGGAGCAGGAGTCAGCCGCCTCGGGCTCCAGGCCCAGCCCGGGCAGCCACCCCATGCCTGGGCGCCCTGGCACCAGCCCCTCCATGTGCCCCTAGCACCTGGTAGCGTAAGTGGAGGATGGGCAGACCCCCAGGCTGTGCCACTCCAGGCAAGTTGCTGTCATTGTCTGGGAACCAGGATCTCCGTCCCTAGTTTGCTCAGAGCTGCCAAACACCCAGCCCCTGGACCACGGACCCTGGAAATGCCTGGTGGGCGTGGGGTGGGATGGAGAGCATGCGGGGCACTGCAGGGGAACAGGCTCGTGTCTACACCCCGGCTCTTGCTGGCTGTGCCACCTTGGGCCACTCCCTTGCCAGACATATGCCTCAGTTTCCCCAGCGGGTGCTAAGTGAGTGTCGCCAGCCTCATAGCATCTGTCGAGATGACGCAGTCACATGTGAACTGAGCCCTCCAGATCCTACAGAGCTGTGTACTCACCCTGGGCCTGGGGCTGGGCAGCCTGGGCGGCGGGGGCAGATGGGGGATCAGCGGCTGGCCGGGCCTCCCGCACTGAGCTGTGGGCGCTGGCCAGCAGGTTCCGGGCAGAGCTGAAGCCAGGCAGGGACCCCAGGAAGCTGCCCAGGGTCTGAGTAGAGAAGGGCCAGCATGAGCGGGGTGGGGAGGAGGTGGGGGCGCCTCAGACAGCCCTGGTCTCGTGGGTGATCTTGAGTCTGAGCCTCAGCTTCCTGGCCTGGGCGCTGGGCAGATGCAGCCAGCCTCCCGGGGACAGGAATTCGTCCTCCAGGTCTCTAAGACCCCGCCCCTCCCCAAGGCCTCTGTTTCACAGATGGGGAAACTGAGGCTCGGAGAGGGGCCAGGACACAGTGGGGAAGGAGCCGAGACCCGCACAGGCCACCCAACCCGAGCTTGGGACAGGAGGGGAGACTTGGCGCCAGGGCCCTCAGAGCCCTCCCACCCCACCCGGAAGGCCCCTCTGAACCCCAGGACTCGAGGTCACCTTCCCGAGGTTTTGGGGAGTCCTCCAGCACCAGCAGGGGTCGCCCCTCCCCTCACCTTGCCCTTGGGTTTGGGAGGCTCCCGGCCCCTTTCCTCTTGAGCAGACATGGTTGTCCTCTGAGCCTCTGGGAGGGGACAGAGAGGGCATGTGAGTGGGGGCTCCCCACACCCGTCACCCCGGCAGTCCCTGGACACCCCCGGGAGACCCGGCCTCACCCTGGCGTCGCTCCCCTGGCCTCTGTGAGGGCCCTTCAGAGTGACTGGCAGTGTAGCTGGCAGCTGGTTCCACTTTCAGCTCCCAGGCCTTATAGGGTCAGGGGGAGCATGGGCCTGGCCAGCAGAGGCAGGTGGCCAGCGGGGGGAGGGCCCTGGCAGTCACGTGCCTGCCGGCCTGCCCAGCGTGGGCCCCGAGCCCAGCACCTTTAGCCTGCTCTCGGTGCCGGCCTGCCTCTGCCCACTGCTCTCACCCCGCCAGGCTGAGTGATTCGCGGGTCATCCGGTGTCCCTGAGACACAGCCTACGTGCCCTCGCGGCCGGTTGGCACGGTTCACATCTCCGCTGGGACACCCCGGCCTCGGTTTCCCTTCCAGACTCCTCGCCGTGGCCCACATATCCTGCTTTCCTCCTGCCTTTGTCTCCTCCCGTGCTCCCCTCGCTCACAGGGGCCTCCGCGCCGTTCCTCCAAGTCTCCAGCCACAGTCCTGCCTCAGGGCCTTTGCACGAGCCACGCCCACTGTCCGCAGCGTGCTCCCGCAGACCTCCACGCTGCTCCCTCGCTCCCCGCACCCCTCGCGACGGAGCAGAGCCTGGCACGCCGGCGGCATTTTATTATGTTTGGCTAAATGGACCAGTCACGGTGGTGTCGTGAACACGCAGTGAGGTCACACATGTGACCTGTTTGCCCCAGTGCCTGCTGCCCAGCAGGTGCTCAACAGATGTTCGCTTCGCATTGTCCAGGCAGAGAGAAGCAAAGTCCGTCCTGAGCAGGGAGGGATCCTGTCACTCTTCGAAAGGGACTTCCTTGAGAACGGGCCCAAAGGTAGACCAGGACAGAGCATCAACAGGAATGAGAGCCAGGCCTGGTGGGCTCAGGCCAACCCAAAGCAGCTTCCTGGAGGAGGCATCCTGTGCCTGTGGCCACAGAGCCAGGCAGTGCCCGAGAGAGGATCTGAACTCAGACCCGGAGCCCGTGTGCGGCGCGGGCCATCTGTGGGTGGGGGTGCAGACGAGCAGGAGAGTGACCGTCACGCCCCCCCGGGCTGTTGTCCCCTCGCATGTTGGCGGCTCTGGGCACTGAGCTGGGAGAAGGGAGGGTTTGGCTGCTGTGCCTGATGATCCCCGGGTCATCTCCTTGGAGCTGTGACTGTGTGTGCCAAACAGTTGGGGAACAAAAGGGGGTGGTCCCTTGGTCTCGCTCCTCCATCCAACTCCTCGTAAAGGTGGCAGCGGGGGTGGGTGTGCCCCTCCCTCCCTGCAGAGCTGCCACAGAGCAGCAAGGCGGAGGGGACCAAGCAAAAACAAAAATGACTGTGAACACCAAGTCAGGTCTTGTCCCCTCTGCGCCCACACACAGCCAGCCCTCCCGGGCTCCCACCTCCCTTGGGGTAAAGGCACAAGTGCTCCCCGTGGCCCAGGACCTGCCCGTCCCCTCCCTGGCCTCCCCTCCTCCCTCTGCCCCAGCTGCACGGGCCTCCTCGCTGCTCCTCCAACAGGCCAGGCTCGGCCCTGCCCCAGGGCCTTGGCACAGGCTGTGCCTCCCACCTGGAATGCTTTTCAGTCTTTGCTCACACGTCACCTCCTCAGAGAGGCCTTCCTGGATCCCCTGTCCTATTTAAAAATATACACCCCTCCTCGTACCCCCACACGCTCCCCAACATCTTTCCCTTTTGTTTTTCTCATCATTTTACTAACACTAAAAAAAGTAATTTATTTCTTTCTCTTATTCGTCACCTGTCTCCTACTGTGTCACCAGGTCACTGAGGGCGGGATTTTTATTTGATTTGCTCACTGCCGTGTCCCCAAGGCGAATTGCTTGGCACGCAGCAGGTGCTCTGTATTTGTTGAATGAACAAACGAATGGAGTGTTCATTCCCTACCAGCTGCTGGGGGCGAGGAGCTGATTGGATTGGGCACAGCTGCCCCACGAGTTCCATACCCATTTCACAGAGGGGAAAGCGGGGTTGGAGAGAGGAAGTCGCCTGCCCACCTACTTCCAGGCAAGGCTGGGATGCAACCCCAGGGCGACAGGGACTCTGGGAGGTTCCTGAGCAGGGCCAGGGAGGCGAGTCTGGCCAGCGGCAAGTGGCCGGGGCTCCCAGAGCCGCCCCTGGCGGGGTTCCAGGGAAGCCAGGGGCCACCCTGACCTCACCGCATCAGACTGGTTTCCCAACACCCCGCCTGGCCACTGGGGAGTGAGGGGTGGCCAAGAATGTGGTCAGAGGGTAAGAAGGCCCCCACGAGACCGGGCCCGTGGCCCTCGCCCTGCTTCTGTCTCTCCCATCCTGACCAGTGGAGGAGCCACTGCGAGATCAGCTCCTGCGGGTCCAGGGAGGTGGGCCTAGGAGGGGCCGACCCATCTGACTTCTCCATCCTCATGTGCCTGCTCCCTGCAGGTTCCAAGAAATTCATTTATACTAAAGTGTGAACCTCTGCTCCGGGAAGTGTGAAGGGGCAATGCTTAACTCAGGTGGTCTGGGTACTACTAATGGTGGAAGTACAGACAGGATGGCAAGCTGGTTGGGGCCACCACTCCTTCTGAATCTCAAAGCCAACACCCCTGAGGGCCCAGCACCCTGCAGCTGAGCCTCATCCTGGACAGAACAGAGGCCACGGGCCTTTGAACAACATGAAGCACCTTTATTCCGGAGTGCAAACACCAAACGGCAAAGCAAGTGGGTCCGGCAGGCCCAGCTGGTGCAGCCTGGCGACTCTGGGGACCCCTTAGTCCAGGATGTACAAGTTGGGGAGCAGGGGGTGCTCGCTTTCCAAATCCCCAAATGGAAGGCACTGGGTGAAATGTGTGTTTCTCTGAGTTTTGATCAGCTCCTTGGAGTCGGAGAACAGGAGACTGCAGACAGGTGAACCCAGCTCCGACTAGTCCGACCTGAGTTAGGTTCGAGTCTCCGTACGTTCAAGGGAAATGTTTGGGGAGGATCTGGTATCAGTGAAGCTGGTCTAGATTCTGCATTCGGACCCCAACACCCAGCTCCGTGCCTGGGCCAGGGTCAAGGCATCCGTTGTGAGTGCTTCCGCATGGCCACTAGGGGGCAGCCGGCATCTCGGGGCGTACGGCTGCCTGGGGCGGTGCTGAGCTGAGCCCCCGTTCGGTCAGAAGTCCAGCTCCGGCATCAGGGTGTGCTTGGGGCGGCTGGGGGGCTCAGGCTCGGGCTCCTCGGGAATGTCCCCTGGGAGGCCCGTCCCGTCCCGGTGCTGCGCCTGCCAGGCTCTCTGCTGGGCCGGCCAGTCCAGGTGCGCCCAGCGGGCATCGGGGCTCCCCACCACCTCGTCCACCAGGGTGTCCAGGTCGGCCGGGGGCTCGGGCCGCTCCACGAGGATGGGCGAGAAGGGCCCCACCCGCCAGGGCAGCGGCACCGCCTGCACCACCAGCTCCAGCAGCTCGTCCACGCAGGCGTGGGCCCGGGCCACGTTGCCCCGGCCCTCAGCCAGCGCCGCCGCGGGCACATCCCCGAAGCAGCGCGCGTCGGCGAAGGCGGCCTGCAGGGCGTGCACGCTGCGCCGCACCTCGGCCACCTTCTCCTGGGCGCCGGGGGGCAGCCCCCGCACGCTGCTCTCCAGCGCGTCCACCGCGCTCTGTAGCTCCCCCATCAGACTCCGGGACAGCACCAGCATCTCCAGCTCCGCCTGCGGGGGGGCGGGGGGCGGGGGCCGGAGCGGCGAGGCCTCAGTACCCCGGATGGACACGTGCCTGGCTTGCTGCCTTGCCTCAGTTTCCCCATGGACACAACGGGACTGTCTCGCCGCCTTGGTTTCCTCCATGGACACAGCAAGACCAAGCCCTGCCTCCGTTTCCCCCGTGGACACTCCAACCAGCTGACCTCAGCAATTAGTTGGAGACAGCTATCTGGCCCCTGGCGACCCCGGGCAGAGGGAGAACCACCCTCCACCTCCCGCCCTCCCCCCAGCGCCCTACCTGGCTGCGGCGACGGCCGTTCTCCAGGGGCCGCAGAGTCCAGTCCTCCCACAGCTCGTGTACCTTCCCGGGGCGGGCCGGGGTGGTAGGGGTCACCCCACACTGCACAAGGTTGATCTGTGGGGATGAGGCCGGTGACAGGCATAGCTGGAGCATGCGGAGGAGCGGAGGAGCCGGGACCAAACCTAGCCTGGATCTGGCCCTAATAAGCATTTAGGGAACACGGCAGTGTGCAGCCTCCGGCACCTGCTGAGCTGGCCTGGTCAGCCTGTCCCATTGCGTACCCTCAGCCAGACCCCGCGACCTGTGGTTCCCCTGAAGCTCAGACTCACAGCAAGGCTTTCGCTCGAGCTGGTCCTTCTGCCAGATGCACGCCTCCCTGCACCCCAGCCCCCTGCCCGGGTCACTCCAGTTCAGGTATTAATATAGACGTCACCCCCTCCAGGAAGCATTCCATCCTCCCCCGCCTGACTGAGTGGATCCCTCTTCTGGGTCCCACAGCACCTGCTGTGTTCCTTGTCATGACCCTGATCCCCCTACTGGACTGTGAGTGTCCTGAAGAGGCCACTGTGACTCCGTACTCAGGATAGGACAGGTATTAGAAGATGCATAAAATAAATTGTGAATATTATTGAACCATAAAGATGAAGGAAATTCTGACACACAACATGGGTGAACCTTGAGGACAACACACTCAGGGAAATACACCGATTTGGGTGCTCACGCGCGACCTCTGGCGGTTGCCATGGGGAGGACAGGCTGGGTTCGGGATGGGCCAGATGGAGGAGGAAGGGGGAGATGTGGGCGGATTCAGGATAGATCTGTGCAGAGCCAACCGTTTGGCTGCTGTGTCCGATGTGGGAGGGCGGGAAAAGACGGGGACGTGAGGTGAGCAGGTTGGGGGCGTCTGAACCTATCAGGGCCAGTCGGCAGGAGCTGTCATGTTCCCTTGGAGCAGGGACAATGAACGATGCGGGCAGAAGCTGGGTGTGAGCTGAACCCTGAAGTACTGGGATGGGTGACGGCAGCGAGGGAAGTCTCCTTCTCCCTCTCTCGACCCACCTTAACTACCTGTAAATATTAGCTCCTACTTCCCCCCTCTACAAACCCTCCCTTGCTCCCCAGGCTGAGCCTTGGCCCCCCCTGAGCTCCCCCAGCCCCAGACCCCTCTCCGCCCCAGCCCTGAACACACACGGCTGGAGGAAGTGGAGCCCACTTCTGCCTCCCTCTTCAGACCAGCAGGGGACCAGGGACTCAGCTGGTCCTCAGTCCATGCTTACTGGCCTGCTTCGCGGGCCAGGGGCGGACAGAGGGCTCTCACCAGCTCCAGTGTCTCCTGCAGCTGGGCCAGTGTGTCCTGGGCGTGGTGTTTCTTCTGCCTCAGTTTCCCCAGAGAGTGCTCATATGCCCGGTGGCGGAGCCGTGCTGACAGGGAGCCCAGGCGTACAAAGTAGCCCTGACGTCTCCTCTGCTCTTCCACGGAGCCCACCTCTGGGCCCTCAGCCTCGGCAGCCAGCGCCGCTGGAGGGTGGGTAGGGAGAGGGGATCAGTGTGGACACCCTCTCCACGTCTGCGCGCCTCCCTTCTGAGCGGACGAGCCCATGGGCTCCCAAAGGTACAGTTGCCCTTTATCAATACCAGCTCACTCAATCTCCCCTAAACCCTATGATGTAGGTACTATTAGCCCCATTTCACAGATGGGGAAAACTAAGGCAGAGAGAGACAGGTGAAGTCCCATAGTGTGCAAAAGGCAGACCCGGGATTTAAACTCAGGCACTCTGGCTGTAGACCAGGGGTCCCTAACCCCCTGGGCCGCACAGCAGGAGGTGAGCGATGCAGGAGCCAGCATCACCGCCTCAGCCCTGCCTCAGGTCATGAAGCCTTAGATTCTCATGGGAGCACCGGTCCCGGGTGCCACGAAGGGTGGGGACCGCTGCTCTAGACTATTCTTAACCACTCCGCTAACCTGCCTGTTACATCACAAGTGCCCGGCCCACGGTAGGTGCTCCACAGCCTGTCTGCTGAGGAATGAGTGCCGTAAAGCAGCGGGGACGGAGCCAGGTCGCCTTCGGGGCCAGCTGACGAGATTGGAACGTGGCAGAAAGGTGTGGTGTGAGGAACTGGGCTAAAGGGCAATCGCTATTCAACACAGCATCTAGTTTTTCAAGGTAAGCCAGAAATCGGGATTTGTAGGGCAAAATCTGATTATTAAAAGCATGTGATGAATCTAAACATCGAAAAGGCATCGTACAGGCCAGATCATACAGGGCCACCAGTTTGAGATCACAACTCTCCAGTCTATCGGCTGCTTATACTCTTGGGGTCCGGATGGTCTGGTTTCTAGCAGGGTGCAAGCTGGGGGGCCACGGAAGCAGAGCGGGCAGTCAGGGCGGGGCCCCAGCTCCTCGTTTCCTGAAAAAATCTTGAGTGAATCTCAAAGCTCTCTGCCCTGTGGCCTCCGGGGATGGGCCCTGGGCAGGAGGGTTTGGGGCGGGACGGGGTGGGGATGGGGACACAGGCCTCACCGAGCTCCTCCTCCGTCATGGGCAGGAAGTGGTCCACCAGCTCCTCCGACTTGCCCAGCACGACGTCCACAGCGTGGCTCATGGAACGCTTCAGCTCCACGCTCCAGCGCCGGCTCTGCCGAGCCAGGCCCACCACGCCGGTCATACCGCTGGTCACCGCATCCTTGGCTGAGGTCACCACCTGGTGGTGGGGAAGGGGGGGGCCAATCTAGGCTCCGTCGGTGTCCGGCTTCCCTCCTTGACCCTTCAGTTCCCTTTGGTGGGGGGTCAGGATCCCTGGCTCCTTCCTGGCTCTGGGCCTCAATTTCCCCTCTATAAATTGGGGAGAAATAAGACCTCTCCCTCCTCGAAGGGGGTGCCAGCATCACTGGCACGCATTAAGTGCTCTGTAAATGTGGGTGCCGACGATTTTAATCTAGTGGGTGTTTTTTGAGTTGACCAAAGCCTGATCTGGCCCCGGAGTCTGGCTGGCCAGGGGTATTGGCTGGGTCTGGGAAGGGGCGGCCCTCCCTCCCCCACCTCCCCCCCGCCGCCCCTCCCTGCAGATCCACAGTCTGGTGGTGCAGGTACCATCTCCGAAGGTTTCTGCAGAAAGGGCAGCTTCTCCTCCAGCTTGTCCAGGCCCCTGCAGGCGAGGTCATTCACGGTGGACACTGGAGGATGAGAGAGTGAGGGGATGAGAATTGGGGAGGTGACAGGGACATGGGGGCACAGAGAGAGAGAGGGAGGGAGTGCTGGAGGGAGGGGCAGAGAAAGAGAGGAGAGAGACAGAGGTAGATAGAGGTAGAGAGAGATCAAAGAAGTTCTCTATGGTGGGGGTAGGGGAAGGCCTGGCTGGCCCCCTGGGAGGGACCGGGGACCCTAAGGTTGTGGGTGCGCCCACAAGGCTGGGCCCCGTCACCACCGCCCTCTCCGCCCTGCCTTGCCATTGGCTTCTACCAGCACCAAGGTGACCTCACACCCATGCCTGGATCAGATGCCCCAGTGAGCAGGCTCAAGGTCAACACAAGCTGGCTGAGAAGGCGGCGGAGAGGCCCTGAGCTGGGACCCTCAGGTGTCCCCCTTCCTGGGCCAGGTGGGAGGTCAAGAACCTTTCTGCCTCCCTTTCCCCATCAGGCTGAACTCCTGAGCTGATCTGGGAAGAGGTGGGGCTCAGGACAGGTGGAGGCAGAAGCGCAGATGGGGGACAGGAGTTGGGCAGGCAAAGGGGACCCGAGGCACAACAGGCCAGCCAATCGGGAGGAAGATATTGAGACAGATGGAGTGGGGACAGAAGGAGGGGGCCATCAGTAAACAGCTAAGGGTGGACAGCCAGGCAATCAAACATCATAAGCCAACAGGTAGAGGGGAGGTGGCACAGAGAGGGATTGAGAGATGGCACAGGCAGAAGGACTGAGCATAGATGACTCAAGAGGGGGTGGCGGACAGGCGGTGGACAGACTAAAGGCACACAGGATGGGTAGGGCCGAGGGAGATGCCCAGGTCAGGGGGTCCACCCCAGGGCATGCCATGCAGATGGAACGTAAGAGGGTGGGACGCGGGAGCAACCACCGGACCCTCGGGCCGGGGGACTCACGCTGAGGCTGCAGGTGGCTGAGCAGTGGCTGGGCGTGGTCCAGGGCACTGGTGGTGAGGCTGCACACACAGTGCTCGGCCAGGCGGCAAGCAGAGCCCAGCAGCGGGTGCTTGTCCTTGGCTGCGCTGTAAGCATCGGAGACTGCGGTGCACGTGGCCCTGACCAGCGGCAGGGCCACCACGCGCTGCACCACGTTCTGCGGGAAGGGGCGGCGTCAGAGAGGCCCCCAGGGGAGCTGGGAGGCTCAGCATATCTCGGCCCACCTCCTCTCTATGGCCCAGAGTGAGGGTGGGCAAGAGGATTGGAGGAAACTGCACTGAGCACCTGGCGGGGGAATCCAGGTGAAGGTGCTCGCGGGCTCCGTTCTCAAAAGCACACACAGCATGAAAGGTTCTGAAACCATCCGGCGGCCAAGGGCACGGCCTCGGGCCACGCTGCCTGCGTTAGTGCTGGTTTGGCCGCCTCCAAGCTGTGTGAGCTTGGGCGAGTGAGTGAGTGGCTTGGTGCCTCTGTTTCCCCATCCGTCAAGTGGGTTTCTAGGGCTATGATGGGGATTCTAGTTTCCCAGGTATGGGAAGCCCTTAGAACGGTGACCGATGCAGAGGAGCTGCTGTGACAGAAGCCGTTGTTGTCGTCAAGAGGCCACAATGGTTGACACAGAAACAGAGTGGGCAGAGGCCAGGTAAGCCGGCCAGGTGTGCTGGGAGTTGCTCCCCTCCCCGGGCCTCATGTGTCCCTCTGGGAAATGGGTAGGAGGTGCAGAGATGTCAGCCCCCTCCGCGGTCCAGAATGCCCTCAGAGCCAGACGCTCGCAGTGAAGATGGAGGCGGGAGGCGGGAGGCGGGTCCCGGCCCGCGGCTGGCCTGGGAAGGACTGGCCCCCGCCCTTCCATGCTCCGTGCCAGGCTTGGCCCCTCACCTGCTGATCTTGCTCCCACGAGCTGGGTGTAGGGGCCTGAGCCGCCTCATCTTCTGACATGCCTGCTGCAAACAGGGTCACCCTGGGAAGCAGGACAGCGTGAGGGGGGCCTCTGCATGTCAGCCCTCCCAGCCCCCACCCAGGCCTTGGGTTCTGTCTGGCTGGGCTCTGTGACTCTGGCAAGTCATGGGGCCTCAGTTTCCTCATCGTAAAAATGGGGTGATGATAATACCAACTTCAAAGCGCCATGGGGGGCACAGGGCTCTGTGCACAGTGCGTGCACACCAGAGAACTTCTGGCGAGGTGGAGGCGCTGCAGAGATTCAACGCATGGGTTGTGGGGAAAGACCCGGGTTTGAATCCTGCCGTGACTTGCTGTGCAACTTTGGGCAAGTGCCCTTACCTCTCTGGGCTCTTTCCTCTTCTGCAAAGTAGGGGAGGTCCCTGACGCCCTTGCTCCGGACACAATGCACAAGCAGCCCCCTGCAGGAACGCAGGTGGTAAGTGCGGAATCCCAATAAACCCGCAGTCCGTTTGACAGTCCGAGAAACGGAGGCACACAGCAAGTCCATGCGGGGCCCATGGGCACTCCCCTTAAGCCAACTCAGAGCAGGGAGCTCGATTTCAGATTGCCCACCTGCAGTTCATCCTCTGTCCCCACGCCCCACCCCCACCTCCGCTTTCAGAGTCGTGGTCCCAGTCCAACTGGGTCCTGGACCTTCAGCCAACTGGGCGAAGGGTCTCAGCCACCTGCTCCGGCCTGTCAACCCCCTCCCCTCCGCACGCCTTTGGACCCTCGCCCATCCTGACCCGATCCGGAGGGCCCTGGGCCTGCGGGATGTTCCTGGACACCAACCACCCGCGTGGCACTCACGGGTGCGTGCAGCCTCAGCTCCCTCGCGCGGTCGCGGACCCCAGATTCGGGCTCCAGTCTCCGCCCACTGCCGGCCCCGCCTGCCTTATAGCGGCTCGGGGGGCGGAGCCTCCGAGACCTACCAATGGGGAGAGGCCGTGTGGGGGCGTGCTCCAGGCCTCCCTCACAAGGTCTTGGGGCTCCCGAAGCGCTCCGTGGTTGCCATAGCAACGTAAAGGACGCCGGCTACTCGAAGATCGAGCTACTTCTGTTGGCCAGGTTTGGCTATCTGCCACCCTAGCTGTAGTTGCTGCGGAGACAGCGGATGGCGATCACAGCCCCCACCCCTTCGCCGAATGACCTTGGGCAAGTCCTCAAGGTCTTTCTATTTTTTTAAAATCTGTGGCTTAACTAAACCAGGAGCCAGGCCAGCTCATTTGCTCCGATTCCGTTTTACAGATGAGCAAATCGAGGCTCAGAATGCTTAAACCACTTGTCCTGGGTCCCACATCGACTGAAGGATTTGATTCAAACCCAACTGTGCCAGGCTCCAGAAGCGGGCTTTCATCATCATGCCTGGAATGACCACCAACCTGGGCATGGCACTCCTAACCGGGGCCCGAAAACCCTGAGCATGGCCCCAACACCCCGGGGTCCGCCAGATCAGATCCTGCCCCTGCCATACCCGGCATTGTTCCGGCAGGTGGCCCTGGGTTCTGAGTTGTGAGAACACAGTCCCCTGGGCCTCTGCCCATCTGTTCAGCCTCATCCAGCCTGCCCACGCCTGTCCCGGGTGGCTGTCCCCTGGGTTATCAGAGGCCAGCATGACAAATTGTTTGGAGACCTGAAGCAATCTGGTTTAATTTAAACCTTCCCCAGGACACAGGCTCTGGCAGGAACCCACCAGTAAAATGACACCCTGGGCAATGGTCAGGGTTTTATTTTCAGTCAAGCCTCAGGATGGGGGGAGTTGGAGGAGCAGCCAGGGGCCGTCAGATCCCAATTGCCATCCATTTGGGATTTCACGTCCTGCGCCCCAGGGCCCCCGGTCATGCCTCCTCTTTCCTCCTCCTTCTTCCCAGAGACCCAGGAAGTCGACTTAAGAGATGCAGGAACACAGTGGAAGCCAATTTGTCCAATTCTGTTCGACATTTATTAAACCTCTGGGGTCTGACCCCTAACTAAGTGTTGAGTAAGAGGCAGCTTGGCCCCAGGCTCTGTGCTCAGAGAGACCCCCAAACTGAAGGAGACAGAGCCAGATAGGGGCAGCCTCGGTGTGACCAGGGCTGGGCCAGACGGAGGGCAGGGGAGCTGAGGGAGCCGGGAGGGCAAGCCATCTGGTCACTGGGGAGCCGTTCCTAGAAGGGGGTGCAGCTGGAGCGAAGGCAGGGCGGCCGGGGCGCCTAAGGGGGGTTTCGGAAAGCGTGGGCAGAACGGGTCTGGTAACTATGGAAAGCCGGCCTCACCCTCAAAAAGGGGGGTTAGTTGCCTAGTGGGGTGCGGTGTTCTGCTAGGCCGCCACCCCCGTCTCCGCCCCGGCCTCAGGCTTCGCACGGGACATGGCCACAGCCAAGAGCGTGTGGCCCTTCACGGCCATAGGCTCGGCGCAGTGAGTGGCGTTGGAGGAGAACATCTTGTCTTTATTGGCCACCAGCCACTGATAGAGGTCGTCCAGGTTTTGGTCACAGACCCAGGGGTTCCCGGAGATGTCGAAGCCGTCCTTCATGTCTCGGGCTGCCCCGGGCTGCCCCACAGATGCCCAGAGCCCCTTGGGCACGCTGGTCAGTGAGTTGTTGGAGAGGTCCAACATGTCCAGCTGCTTCAGACCTTGGAAGGCACCTGCTGCCACCGCGGCCAGCTGGTTGTCACTTAGAAAGAAGTGGCGCAGGTTAGGCTGAGGCGCCAGCAGCCCCTTTTCAAGTGCCCTCAGTCTGTTACCCTCCAGGTGCAGCCGTTCCAACTTCAGCGGTCCCCTCAGAAGGTCAGGGGACAAGGTCTCCAGCTGGTTATTGCCAAGGTCAAGGATGCGCAGGTCGGTGAAGTTGGACAGCAGCCCAGGGGGCAGCGTCCGGAGGCGGTTCCCAGACAGGTCCAGGTGTCCGAGGGCTTTCAGGCCGAGCAGCCAGGAGGCCTCCAGGCTTTGCAGCTGGTTTTCCTTCAGCACCAGGGTGTGGAGGGCGGCCGAGACCTGGAAGAGGCCGGCGGGCAGCCGGCTCAGAGCGTTGCGGGTCAGATCGAGCACCTTCAGCTGAGGCACAGGCAGCAGGAACTTATCCGCGAGGCTCTCCAGCCCGTTGCTGGAGAGGTGCAGTTCCTGGAGGTTGGAGACACCCTGGAGGAAGTGGGGTGGCAGCTGTGTGACGTTCAAGAACTCCACAGACAGGAAGATGGTGTCGGCTGGGAGCTGCAGGGGGACTTTGGCAGGCGGGTAGCAGTTGACAGAGCTGCCGTTATCTGACTGGAACACCTGGCAGGCTTCGGGGTTTGGGATGACCCCCTGGGCAGAGGGGGCCACAATTAGTAGCAGCAGGAACAGGGTTCTAGAAAGATGGGGGTCCAGGCCTCCTGGGCTGCAGGCAATGACAGAAGGTGCTTAATGAGCCAGAATGAAAATATACCCAGCTCCGTGAGCGTGTGCCCGGTTCTGCCCGGTTCTGCCCACTTCTTCCCCTCCCCGCTTTCACCACCTCGGGCCGTGCCACCTGACTGCTCCCCTCGACTAGTGCACTCACCTCCTCTCCATGTTTTGAAGGCAGAGCCAGTGAACTCCTACTATCCTGCAAAACCCCCAGCTCCGATGCCCCTTTTCCCATGGAGCTTTCTCTGACCTTCCCAAGCAGAACTCTCAGTTTCCCGCTCTGAGCTCTTCCCCGTCCTGTCCAGCCCTGACCCGACCAGGTTAGGATGTCTGCATCCAGGTCTATCTCGCTGCAGGTGCTCAGATGCACCCCAGGGTTCCAGGTGCAAACGGGACTCTGGACATGAGACGTGCCCAAAGCAGGTGTGGGGGCGGTCGTTTGACCTTGGGATCGGTGGGTTACAGTTGGCACCAACACCCTTGGAGTGCCAGGGCTTCTGCTCCTCCCAGCCCTCCGGCAGGCCTCTGATGTGGGGGCTGGACTCCCACTCCCCGCCTGGGGCGTGCATCGGCGAGTGGGTGTGTGGGAACCAGCCTGTCCTGGTTCGAGCCTGGGCGTTGGTCCACTCCAGCCTGCAGGCCCACATCTGGCCCTGTGACTTCACTGGGCAGACAGAACGTCGGTGCCCTGCCTGTCGTTCGAGCCTGCCTAGGAATGGCGGGCTGGGGACCTACCTCTGGCTTTGCTCTGGGCTCCAAGAGGACATGGTGGTCTCTCTGTTTCCTTTCCAGGTTCCCTGAGTCTGGTGAGGTGGCCTTATACCTGCCTGGGCGGGGGTGGGCACGGGCACTGACCATAGGGAAGTCCCCACCCACATCCTGTTCCCGATAGGGCCTGAACCTGAGCCACGCAGGGGAAAAGGAGGGGCCGGGATTGCAAAATTATTTCCTGGCAGGGCTAGGACAGCGGAGAGGCTGCCCGCACCTTCTCGGCATGGCTCTGCCCAGTTTTCCTTCCCCTGATTTGTGCTTTTCAGGAGTGGCTACCCAAGAGTCTCTGGGGCTGAATCCCCGCTCCTCGCTTGCAAGGTGCCAGTCCTGGCAGATGAGGACAGCTCTTTGAGCAAGATGCAGTATTTACGATACACTTGAGCCACCAGGAGGCGCAATGAAAAGAACAAAAAGTACTTGTCTTGAATTCATGACATATTCGTTATTGAATATATTTTTATTGAAATAATTTTTAAAAAAGAGAGGTGAAAAGCGAGTGATGCCAGAAGCCTCTGCAGTCTTTGAGCGGTGGCCCGGATGGGGCCAGCCTGGTTCTGAACCTCAGCTGCGCTAGGACTGCTTTGCTCTGTGACTGTGAACACGTGGCTTCACTTTCCTTGGCCTCTGTTTCCCCATCTGTGAAGTAGAACTCAGTCTCCGAGGGCCCTGTCTGCTCTTTCTTTTTTCGTCTGAAGCTGACGCGCTATTCGTTTTGGATCATTCTGGTTTTCTAATAAGTGCATTCGGAGGCTACACATTTCCCTTTGAGAACGGCTTTGGCTGCATATCATGGGTTTGGCTACTCAGCGCTTTCATTCTTCTCGAGTGCGAAACATTCAGGTGTGCTGTTATATTTACCTGCAGCCAGGGCTTCTGTCGTGGCTCTTCTCCCCAGCCCCATCTCTGAAGGGTTTTGTCTTTATTCATCTGTGAGGATGAGTGAGTTTTGTCTTAGTGGACACATCAGCTCAGAGAAAAATACAAAGGCTGACACCAACAAGCACAGTTAAAGAACGACTCCATAGACACAGATACTGACACAGAGACAGGTGAAAATACATAGACAGAACCTGACAGAGACACAGAGCAGGACACACGGGAGAGGATGGCAGACCTGCAGAGACACACGCACAAAACAGACACACACACAAATGAGTAAAGGACCTGAATAGAGACTCTTCCAAAGAAGATATATACATGGCCAACACATGCATGAAAAGATGCTCAACATCACTGATCATCAGGGAAATGCAAGTCAAAACCACAATGAGATGTCACCTTAACCCTGTCAGAATGGTTTTTATCAACAACACAAGAAGTAGCAAGTGTTGGCGAGGATGTAGAGAAAAAGGCACCCGCCCTCTGTTCGTGGGAATGTAAATTGGTGCAGCTGCTATGAAAAACGGTATGGGGGTTCCTTAAAAAATTAAAAATAGAGCTGTTACACTATCCAATAATTCCACTTCTGGGTATTTATCCGAAGTAAATGAAATCGCTATCTTGAGATATCTGCATTTCTATGCTCCTTGCAGCATTATTCACGCACACGTGCTCACATGCACACATACAACACACACACACACATAGGAGTATCACTCATTCATAAAAAAGAAGCAAATCCTGCCGTTTACAACAACATAGATGAACCTTGAGGGCATTATGCTCGGTGAAGTAAGTTAGACATGGAAAACTACTAGATGATCTTATATGTGGAATCTGAAAAAACCAAACTCATAGAAACTGAGAGTCGAATGGTTTTTGCCAGGGGCCAGGCAGGGGGCAAGGTGAACGGGGAGATGGTGGTCAAAGGGTACCAACTTGCAGTTATAAGATGAGTAAATTCTGGGGATGTAACGGTCAGATCTAATGGTGACTATAGGTAACAATACTGTATCGTGTACCTGAGAGGTGCTAAGGAAGTAGATCGTAAATGTTCTCACCACACATACAGAAAGGTAACTCTGCGAGGTAATGGTGTGTGACTGTTGTGATCATCTCGCGATATGTGCGTAGATCGAGTCGTCAAGCCGTGCACCTGAAACTTACACAATGTTGTATATGTCGATTATATTTCACGCTGAAAACACACACACAAAGGTTCAGGAGGAGCCGTTAGATGCCGTCACAGTGTTTTGTGTTTCTTTGTTTATTATCACTTCCCCCCATGACGAGGGGTACCAGGTGGGGTACTGGATGTCTCTTTTTCACTGCTCTATCCCCAGAGCCCAGCACACAGTAGGTGCTCAATAAACAGGGGCTGGAGGGTTTGAGCTGTAACAACATGCTAAAGTGATCTCTTAAAATGAAATCAGATCATGTCCCTGGCTTAAAATCCTCTGATGGCTTCCTGTCCCACTTAAATTCATAAGGCTGGGGGAGCAGGGGTAGGAAGGGAAGTTGGTATTTAATGGAAGAAGGAGTTTAAGTTTGGGAATATGCAAGAGTTTTGGAGACGGATGGTGGGGATGGCTGTACAACAAGGTGAATGGACTTCATGCCACTGAACTGAACACATAAAAATGGTTCAAACGGTACATTTGAATTTATGTGTATTTATGCGTATTTTACCACAATGAAAGAAACTGTACTCCTCAACTGAGAGGCTCTGTCTACTTGGGAACCTGCCCTCCCCTTCCTCCTATCTCGACCTGCTCCCCCTCCCCCTCTGCTCCAGCCACACTGGCCTCCTTGCCCCTCCTCCAAGAGTTCCCACCGCGGGCCCTTTGCCCTGGCTGTTTCTTCCACCTGGATGCTCTCTCTGCACATCTCCCCAGGATTGCCCCCTTCTCACCCGTCCTGTCCTGTCTCAGCTCAAAGGTCACCTCCTCCAGCAGGCCCTCCTTGACCAACACCACCCCCAGTCACTCCTTCCTAGCACATTATCTTGATTTTTCTTCATTACACATATCACTACCTCAAATCAAGTTCCTTGCTTGTATGTGGTCAGCCTCTGTACTAGGCCATGAACTCCATGAGGACAGGGGTCTTTGTCCTCACACAGTGCCTGGCACGTGGTAGGTGCACAATAAATATTTGCTGGAGAACCAATCAGAAATTTCCCCCATCCAGATGGAGACGGGGACCTCGCCTCACCTTTCCACATTTCCACACTCAGTGCCCCAGCATTCTGTCTGCTGCTGTGAATCTCGAGGGTGCTCTCACCTGTATGGGGACAAGCCTGGGCCCCGGCCCCGCCCCTTGGAGACAGAGCAGACCCCGGCCCCGCCCCTCGGAGACAGAGCAGACCTTGGCCCCGCCTCTCGGGGGGTAGAGCAGATCCAGGCCCCGCCCCTCAGGGGCGGGCAGAGCATACCCCGGACCCGCCCCTCGGGAGCAGAGCAGATTCAGGCCCTGCCCCTCACAGACAGAGCAGACCCAGAGCCCTGGGGCCGGTGGTTGTAAACAGTTTTATTGATGGGGAAGGGGGCTGGGGAGGCAAATTCCAGAGAGGGTCCAGGTCACAGCTGGCCACTCAGCTGGCATGCATGGTCAGCTGGAGGTCGAGGGGGAGGTCACAAGGGGACGGGTGGCGTGGGACCCTCTGACCACCCTGGGGCCATATTTACAGAGGGGCCCGCCCGCCTTCACTGCCCCCCAGCCCTTTAGACAGCTGCTGCCAGTATGACTTCTGGGCAGGCCCTCCCGGCCCCCCTGCCTGAAACCCCCTCTCTGTCTCCCCTCAAACTCCTAACCGGCACCTTGGAGGCCCCGGGCCTTCTGGAAGCCCCTGCGTCGGCTCAGCCAACGCGCAGGCCGCTGGGGCCGCCGCGCTTGACACACCACACACACGCACCCTGCACGCGTGGCCCGTCCCCACGCACACGTTGGCAGCAGCCCTGGCGGGCGCGCACACACACACACGCCTCCCTCCCCTTCCCGGCCCCTCGCAAACGAACACGGCATGCACACACACACACACGCTCACACACGCCAGGAGCCGGGGTCGAGGGGGACCTTGGGGGTGGGGGCTTGGGTCTGCAGCTGTGGCCCCCACCCCGTCCCGCCGCCTCCAAGCCCCCAGCCGCCACCCCGAGAACGGAGTTGTGCAATTGGGTAGAAAACTGCAAAAAAACCGCAAATTGGAAACAAACCCAAACCCACTCGCAGATCAACCTCAAATCCATAGCACATCCTCCCGCCCCACCCCAAACCACCTCGTGTCCCGCGGCCCCGGTCGGGGCGGGGGGCCGAGCCCGTTGTGCTTCCGTGTGGCGGAGGGGGCGCCCCCGCGCTGGGGTGGGGGCCTTGAGCACCCACTCGGAGCTGGGCCGGGTCTCTCGCTCCTGGTTCCCTTGGCTGGCACCGCAGAGG